CTGCAAGACTTCAAGATACCATAAGTTCATACTGTGTAGATCGGAACAAAAGTTAATTTTTATCTATGGTAACCGCTGTTAACTATGACATTTGGACGTTGAACATCTCAGTCCTCCCGTGACCATGGGTGCCGTAAAGCGCTCGAAACGTCGGGTGTTTATAGTTAAATATACGCGATAAAATCCGTAAAAACTAGTATTATTTCAGTGTGTACTGTTCGCGTAAATATAAGAAATCATTATCTTTGAATATAACCTGGCAGGAGCTGTCAATATCAGATTGTAATTGTATTCTTCTAAAAATATGTAAGGATACCATAGTCATTGTAATTTATAGACCAGCTGGATTTAAGGATCCCACAAATTTTATTGAATCGCTTAGTAGTACGCTTGATCAGTATTCACCTTATAAAACCATAATTATAATTGGCGATATAAATATAGATATTGTTATACATAGTAACGACTCCTACTCTCTATATTACTTAAATAGTCTGGCATCTAAAGGTATGTTACCTGCCCCCACCTTCCCTACCCATGACAAAACATGTCTAGATCACGTCATATTGAAAACAAAACTTTGGTCAACCTGCTACGTTGCCGAGACTTCCATTACTGATCACGTTACTCTTATATTTCAATTAGATGCTAATCTAGATACACGTAGTTTGCCGCCAAAAATTAGAGAACTTGTAAATTACGATAATTTAGATAGTTACCTTCTCACTTTAGACTTTAAAAGTATTTATTCCATGGTAGATGTTGACTCAGCAACTACATTCCTATACTATATCCCTAAGTAATGCTTTAAAAATGAATACTAAAATAATTAAAGTTTCTAATCGCAAAATTATTAAAAAGCCCTGTATTACCACATGTATTTTGAGATGCTTAAGAAATCGCGACAAATTACACCAGAAATGTAAAAAATATCCGCATGTTGACGTAATCGTAACTACATACAAACGTTATCGTAATTATTGTAATGAACTACTTAAAAAACTTAATAAAGAATATGAAAAAGCAGAATTAACAACAGCAGTTAAAACAAGCAATAAAAAACTTTGAAACACAATTAAAACAGTCACAAATACGAATAAATTAAATAATAATGCCGATATATTATTAAACAAATCTGACCCTAAAACTTCACTTAATTATGTTAATTCATTTTTTGTAAATATAGGTAAATCTTTGGCGGAAAAACACCACGTTAATAATAACACTCGTAGCATTTTTATTTAACTTGGTACTGATTGACACGGACGAACATGAAATAGAGACAATTATTTTAAATTTGAAATCTAATTGTAGTAGGTAGAGATACTATTTCTACTTTATTTCTAAAAAGGTATAGACATTTACTTGTTCCTCCCATTACATATATATGTAACCTTTCCCTTAAATCTGGTAAATTTCCCAAGTGTTTCAAACTAGCTGAAATTCACCCTATTTACAAGAGCGGTGATGTGGGCTGTGTCAATAACTATAGACACATTTCCATTCTTCCCACTATGTCAAAATTCTTGAAAAAGTAATTAACAAGCGTTTGACTAATTACTTAGAGAAACATGATTTGTTATCACATTGCCAATATGGTTTTTGACCAAAACGTTACTCAGGATGCAGTTCATGAACTAACAGATTTCGTTGTTACAAACCTTGACCGTAAAAAAGAAAGTAGTTGTTTTTCACTTTCATATTGGCCTCTTAAGTACAAGGATACGTAATTTAATTTATATTTTTTAAAAATCTACGTCGTGTTGCAGATTTTAATGTAATAAAAATGGTATATTTTGCACTGTGCCAATCATTGTTGACATATTGCATTACCATCTGGGGAGGAGCACCTAAAACGACCATATTGCAATTAGAAAGGGCTCAAAGGGCACTATTAAAAGTTAGCAATTCTCTTCCATTCCGTTGTCTTACAACTGACTTTTATCAACATTGTAATGTCTTATCTGTTCGTAAATTGTTTATATTGCACACTACGCTGCTACAACATTCTCTTATACAGTATGAGTCCTCCTATAATAATGACAAAAGAAGGAAATATGTAGTTTGTCCCAGTAAGCTTCTAAAGACAAAATTTTCGCATAAGCATTTTTGCTTCCTGGGAGGTTACCTTTATAACAAATTAAATAAACTTTTGTCAATTTACTCTCTACCAAAACATGCATGTAAACAAAAATTACAGAAGTGGTTGCTAAATATCGATTATATGGATGCTGAAAATTTACTGAGAATATTATCCTAAAAAACACATCACAACACACACACACACTCACACACACACACACACACACACACACACACACACACACACACACACACACACACACACACACACACACACACACATGCACGCACACACGCATACATGTACACATACATACTATTACACATATAGAAATAACTTTAAAAACAACATATAGAATCTTTCCTTGTTGAAATATTTCTTATTCTTGTATTTCTCTTGTAATATTTTTGAAAATGTAATACGTGCTATCCGTTAGGGTGAGGGCCTGGTGATCTATAACACAGGGATTACCCTAGTATGGACACCAGTCTCTCACAAAGGTCAAAATTATCTACAACCGTATTATTTAAGAAATAATGTGAAATTATATACCTTTTTTTGAAGAGAAAAAAATAAAATCATTTATTATTATGTGTGGGGTATCTATATAGTTTTCTCATCTGGTTGGTTGTATAAATATATAATTATAAACGAAAATGAAAAGATAAACATACAAAAATATCAATAAAATAAAATAAATATGAAAATACATAAATAAATAAAAGCCCAACCAGATGGAAGCCCTCGGCAGGGGAGACCAAACGGCCGAGGGTTAGGGGGAAAGGGAAAGAAACCGGCGGACGATGCGGGCGGTATCGAGGAGCACCGCCTTCTGCATTTGAGCCTGGAGCGGTCCGCCACGTAGTCCCAGCCGCCTCAGATGACCCGAGAGGCTGACTGGGATTAGCCCGTTTGCAGAGACGACTACAGGAATAATTTCGGTCGGCAGACCACCCCACATGTCGGTCACCTCGTGAGCCAGGTCCAGATATTTTGTTTGCTTATCTGTTTCGGCTTTCACGAGGTTCTCGTCACACGGAATGGTAATGTCGACCAAAAATATCCTTGACTGTGCCCGGTCCATCAGCACAATATCAGGCTTATTCGCAAGAATAGTCCTGTCTGTGATGATGGCCCGGTCCCAATAGAGCCTGGCGCGATCATTTTCGAGCACGGCTTCCGGCAAGTACTTGTAATACGGCAACTTCCGATCCACGAAACCGTATTTCAGAGCGAGCTCCTGGTGTAGAATTCTGGCTACTAGGTTGTGCCTGTGCAAGTACTCAGAGTTAGAAAGCGCCGAACAACCGGAGATGACATGCCTAAGTGACTCACCGGGATGGCGACAAGCTCGACAGATGTCGATGGTGCCATCCTTTAGGATGTATCTCCGATAGTTGTTGGTCTTAATAACCTGATCCTGTATTGCACAGACAAAACCCTCGGTTTCCCCGAAGAGGTCACCAAAGCGTAGCCAGTGGAGAGAGGTTACTGTGTCTACGAAAGGCCCATGTAGAGACTTGTAGAACCTCCCGTGGAGCTCCTTCTCCTTCCATACGGTCTCCCGGTCGGAAATTGTCTGCACTGCCGGGTCTTGCCATTGCTCGTTGGCTAAGGATAGAGGGGTAAGTCCTTTATCACAAGAAATGACGTCCTTATAGAATGGATCATCCGATCTCGCCAGGAAGTAATTACGGAGGCTGCACACTTCGCGATTATGCATGGTGAGCGCGCTCAAGAAGCCACGCCCACCATGCTTTCGCGGCAAGTACAGCCTCATTACCGACGATCTCGGATGATGCATCCTGTGGGACGTCATGGTAGTGCGGACTTTTCTATCCAGGGCGTTAAGTTCAGTCTGAGTCCACCTGAGTATGCCAAAGGTATACATGAGGACAGGTATGACCCAGCCGTTATATGCTTGTGTCTTATTCACACCGGACAAAAGGCTGTTAAGCACTTTGGTCAAGCGTGCATAAAACACGTCGCAAACTGACTGTTTCATACCAGCCTCATCGATACCAATGTTCTGTGACATACCCAGGTATCGGTATGTTTCAGCCTCGGAAAGGGTCCTTAAGTTGACGGGCATAGATAAGTCTATGCCCTCAGAGTTAGCAACCCTACCCCTCTCAACATGGAGGACCGCACACTTATCCGTCCCCAGCTCCATTCCAATGGAATTGCTAAATTCACAAGTGATGTTTAGCAGTTCCATAAGATGGGAGCGACTGGAGGCGAATAACTTGAGGTCATCCATATAGAAAAGGTGGGTCACTTTTGTCCCTCCTTTCCGTAGCTGAAATCCCCTCCCGGAGCCCTCCAGTAAGGTACTGAGAGGGTTCAGAGAGAGGCAGAACCATATTGGACTCAGACAATCGCCCTGGAAGATACCCCTTCTTATCCTTATGTGGTTCTCCGCAGCCATCATCCGCTCGCCCAGATGACAAAGGATCGTACTCCACTGCCCCATACACTGCTCGAGGAAGTCTCTAACTGTACAGTCTATCTTGTACAGTTCGAGGACTCTCTTTAGCCATGTATGGGGCACCGAGTCGAATGCCTTTCTGTAGTCTATCCAGGCGGCGGAGAAGTTCCGACGGTTGCGTTTCACCACTTTGCCAATGACCGCGTCAATGAGGAGTGGTTCCTTGGTTCCACGACCGCCGCCCCGACATCCATTTTGAGCGCGCGACATCACCTGATTTGAGTCCAGGTGACGAGTGATTCTCGCGCTCAAAATGGATGTTAGTGTCTTATATATGGTCGGTAGACATGTGATGGGGCGGTATTTGCTCGGGTCTGTGGTACTCTGGCCTTTAGGAACCAAATGGGTGATCCCAGTAGTGAAGAGGCTCGGGAGCGACTTCTGGTTGAGAACCTCTTGAAACTGTCGGGCGAGCACAGTGTGACACACCACGAACCCCTTCAGCCAGTAGTGATGCAGCCCGTCGAGTCCCGGACTTTTCCAGTTCGGGGCCCTACGGACCGCCTCAGCTACGTCATCCGGCGTTATGGTGACGGGGTCCATGGGCGTAATACCCGCACACTGACTCGCCACAACTTCCGTCCAAGGGCCCTCGTTGTGGTTTACGGGCTCTGACCACAGGCTGCGCCAGAATGCGACCGTGTCGGCCTGATTCGGTACTGGGCCCGTTCCACTTACCATTGGTCGCTCCAATGATTTATAGAGCCTCTTCTGATCACTCTGGAAGAAACGATTCTGGTTGAAACGTGTTGAACTCTCGGTATATCGCCGAATTCGCTTTCCCCAAGCAGCGATTCTCTGCTTCAGGTCGTCTATGCGCTCCGTCAGTTTTTGCATTATATCCGGCTGGGACAAACTAACATTTGTCCCAGCAAACGCCATCCTGACGGTGCGCACAATCCTTGGCCTGGTATTGCCTGACCTGAAGCATGTCAGTCTGCCGATGAGGGCCCTAGCCTTTGCGATACGTTCTTCAATTCTTGTTCTCCAGGCTGGGATAGCACTACTTTGTCCAGTAGTGCGTCCCGCCGTGGAAAGTTTGGCGCCTATAATACGGCAGACTGCCAGTGCGGCGCCAAAGAGAATTGAGTCCGTCTCGCAAAGGTCCCGGCTGGCTTCCAAATAGGTCACCAGCATTGGGTTCAGAGCCCTCACGACAGCCCGATTCCGCTTGCTTAGGGCTATGCGGGGAAGTCGCGGTCGATTTTCGAGAGGCGTACTGCGCGTTTCCATAATCGCCTCTTCCAATGTACTCCTCATTTGCTCTATTTCTAGTTCCTGGGTGAATGTTCCATCATCATTTGAATCAGCAACCACTGGGGTATTCTCGGCGGCATCCACGTGTGCGGGTTGTTCTGCAACTTGTGGCACCGCACCCTCAGTCGTAGCGTTTTCATTTGATGAGGGAACAGCCTCACGTCACGTTATTATTATTATTATTATTATTATTAAAAACTTACAGTCCCTCTGAAAGTAAATGTCTACATGTATACAGGCCATGGACACCTGAAACTAACTTTGAAAAAGGGAGATGATTCGTTGTCATCTTTAAGGATAAGAAGATAAAATGCTAAATTTTTCGTAATTATATTGACTCTATTTACTCATACCGGAAACACCACAGTGCAGGTAATGTTGTTTGGCGCCAAAAATAGGTAAGTTTGCAATACCTACCCAAACGGGCTCATGGACAAAAAAGAAGTTTGTCTGAAATAAAGTTTAAATATCGGGGGAGAAGCATAAGGAAGAAGTATTAACAATGATTTAGTTTCCTATTTCATGTAATTCATTTGTATTTTTTGTGTAAATCTAATATTTTGTCATTTAGTAACTTATTTTTTGTATATATTAGCAAAACTGAAGATATTTTTACTTTTACACCAAAAATGTCATTTTAATTGTTTGTCATTAATATTGCGTTCAAAAGTTGTGTAACATTTAAACATTAATATTAATATAACATTTTTTTTTGATGATTTATTTATGAGTACTAACTGAATATTCTTTGGTAATCATCACACAAGAATATATTTAAAAAAAAGAATGATAAAAGCTCGCTACTGTAATTACTCGTATATTGCCGGATTTCATGTGCTGCAACAAAAGCTAGGTAGTTGAAACCTCAACTTACATCGCGATTTGAAAAAAATGCTGGATTTTTATATGACCTGGAATGTAACGGTGAAGTACCATCCTCCTTACAGCGTTTTCTTACTTGAAACATGAATACTTGTTGAGAACAAAGCATGAGATTCCGGAGGCAATATGAACTTTTGCGTAAGTCACGTATTCATTGACCGCAGATGGAGGTATTGTTTTTATAACAAATACTTTTTTTTATTCAAACTTACCATTTAACAAACTCTTTGTCTTAAAATGTATACGTATGCTAAACTAAAATATACATTGTATAATTTTTATAGTATACTTCTATTTGAACTTAGACATACTATATTTATAGTACTAATGCAGACTTTGAACTAAACCTGCAACCGACTTCAAACAAGCGAATCACAAAATAAACGTTACACAATTTATTGTATAACCCATATGAGGGCCATAAAAATATTATTAGTAGTATATTTCTATGGTCTTCAATTGTTCCCGTTCTGGATGTTTCTCCTTGTGCAATTTATGTACGTAAACTGCCTTCAATAAAGAAAGGAATCTATTGTGGGGAATCTTCTTTAAGAGGATTGTGAAGTGCCGATACGCGATCCGAGTAGGTATTTTCAAAAATGCTATCTGTTTCATATTGCTCGCTTTGCCTCCCTCCGGGTGTGACAAACACAAATATAACATGTTATAAACAAATTCTCACGCACACTATAATAGCAGCAGTTAGCGGTGCTTGGGCGTATTCTGTGAATCGTTCGAACATCGGCTATCTGTGGTTCGCAGTTTGCACATACATTAACGATAAACAAAGAGATTTAAATTCTAATACCTTTAAACAAGTTTTTTTTTTTTTTTTTTTTTATATATATATACAACATGTAACACAAACCCTGTGGTTCCCGTTAACTGCGTTATCAGAATCAGTATCATATTATCAAACAGTTATTTCTATATCAGCATATAGAAATACTTTAAAAAAAAACACACTAAAAAATAAATTTTTACGAAAAAAAATTAATTTGCAAATTTTATATAGTTTTAAAATCTCTGCATTGGCCGAGAAGTAAGAGGATTGTCAAAGACCCCGCAGTACGCATACTCGTGTGAGTTAGAGGAAATAAAACCACATAAAATTTGCAAATTAATTATTTTTTCAGTAAAATATTTTAAATTTTAATATTTCTATACGCTTGGATACCGATTCTGATAACACACAGGGTTTTTGTTACATATTTTATGAGAAAATCTTTTATTTCTAATAATAAATTAATTTATTATTAAAAAAATACCGAGCAAAGCTCGGTCATCCTGATACTACATACTTAAGTGTCTTTGACGACAAGTGACATAATTATTCAATTTGTTTGTGTTTCTTTGCAATTTTATTATACTTATTGCATAGTGTGTGTAGACATTTAGTAGGTACTAACTACATATACCTTATAGAAGTGAGCTGTTATTTTTTTATATGTAAGTATCTTCTACCTATCTCTATCTGCCAAAGGCAAATGCCAGCTTTTACGATGAGTATTATATTCATTCAAATAAAATTAATTTATACCTTTTAGAATGGAAGATAAAGATTATAGACTAGGAAAAAAAATTAACCGTGTTTATCAACGAAACGAAAAAAAATTCAATTTTATTCGCAAATCGATAGGATGGGTAACGCCAACTTCTAAAATCTACAGGTATACCACATAACATACTATTGCACATAGGTATCATACGTAATATTTGTATTTATTCTGTGATCATACTTTGCTCGGTAGGTGATAGACCCAAATTTATTTCGCCAAAATATAAAATTATGGAATAGCTGATGTTGGTTTTAAGACTTCATAAAAGGACGAGGTTCTTGTGTATGTATGTGTACGATGTTCGGCTGTATGCTTTTTCTTTGATTTTTCCGATTTCTCCATCAATTGTGGACCGATTTTGAATACCTATTCATTTTTTCTTCGATAATGTATGTCTCACATTTGGCCCCATATAAATGTCATAGAAATCATTACAACCATGATATATGTTGTAATTGGGTTTTACTGAAGTCGGTTGTACAAAATTTTCAATTTTACCGCTTGTCTAGTAATAATATTAGTCCGTTAGAAAATGTTGTTCCTATTACTTATTCTAATTACTAATTTACTAATCTAGATTTTAACAATGAATCGAATTAAAGATAAACTAGCTTTTGCCCGCGAATTTTGCCCGCGTTAGTTAGCCATAAAATATATTTTTAACTTCTTTTCATTTTTCAGTGACTGAGCTAGACAAGAAATTACCGGACAGCAATATGCAGCGACGATGTACTTCTTATTATATTTCGTTCTTATCCTAATAGTCGAATGAATATTAGAGGTCTAACAGGGCTAATACATCGATGGAAGAAGGCATAATAGTGAAGGGTTTCCAAAAAAGGGTTGAAAAACATGTGCGATGTCGCATGTTGATTGACGATGGCGAATCTGGTATCATAAATGGACTATGGATTACTATGCCATACGGTTCTAACCTCATGGTTAAAAAAGTTGAATGCAAAAATCACCTACTCAGAAATTTTTGTTCCAAATTTAAGCAGTTGGGAAAGAAAACTAACAAACAATAAGGTTACTTACCGGTACCTACAAGAAAAAGACTTGTGAGCAAAGTATTGCGTCACTTTTACGTGGTAGAGCCATGCTGCAGTTATATTAATAGTAGAGTTGTAGCACGAATGGGTCGGCTCGGCCGGGGAAGGACCACGCTCTCACAGAATACCAGCGTCAAATGGTAGCTCTGTGTTTCGTATGGTGGGTGTCGAGAACCGGAGACCCTTTTTACTAGAAACGAGGCATTCCACCCAAGTCCTCACGGATGACAACGCATCTGCATTTTGATTCGTAATCTAGGATATATGTAGATGTCTATGGGCCACAGCAACCACTTACCATCAGGTGGGCTGTGTGCTCGTTTATCATCCTTTTCCATAAAAAGCAGTAGTTGGCGCCGTGAAACGTTGGAAGAATGAAGACATCACTGACTAAGAAAAAAATTAAAAACATCAAAAATGACATAAAAATCAGTGCCAATCATGTTTTTAAGAAAAGAAGGAAGAGTTTTTGGCTTCTTTGCAAAAAATGAAATGCCCTGCCTCCCGACCCGTATCGTGCGATAGAGAGAGTTGCAAGTCTTGGAAGAAATTGCCTACATTTCTTTATTGAAGTATTGATTCGAGCAATAACATTTTTACCCCCCTAAACCTGTAAGAAATGAGATACGTTTGGTACCATTAGATTCAGTACATCTTAGTCTAGGTCTGTACGTTTTTCTTTTATAGTAAATCAGTTTAGTTTAATTAAGAAAAATAAAAACGCTCGAGGAAGTTTTTAAGTCAAAAATATAGATATTTAGATGATAATAACTTACATCGTACGTAATATTTCTTTAAAATTAAAACTTACGAACCTAGTTTTTTGTTATATCTACAAATTTTCCATAAGTTATGAAAATTAGACTATGTTTGCTGGTGAGAAAACGTTATCACTTTTTGTATGAAAATTTACTGCTTCACAATCCTCTTAAATGCAACAATGTTTTGTCACACCAAAGGACTAACATGAAATAACTCAGTTTGTTACTACATACTGAGTGTCTATTACTTTTTCATTACTGCTTAGAGAAATGCGTAAGAGGATTATATCGACCCAACGGATGTTGAAAAGGGAGCCTTGCTGCGAAGCTTTACATATCAACTGTTAAGACATCTGTTGCTATACGCATTTTTATCAGAAACCTTGGCGATCGCGTACACTATAAGTTCTAAAAAATTCATCGTAATCGGTGAATAGTAATGGAACGCACAGAAAGAGTACATGCAATCTTTTATGGTTTATTTTGAAGTTAAGGTTAATATTCTTCTGACTCCAGATTAATGTCTTGTCCTATTGCTCGTATTAATATCAGTTCAGTAATTATGGTACACAAATAAAATTCAATTGTATATAATATAAAGATGTATTTCTATTTCCTTAATGATTCTCTTAACTAATACCTAAATCAGTAAGTTATGCAAAAGCCAAAATACCAAGCTACTTAACCGGTGTACCGAACTATATCTAACACTACTGAACCAC